AAAGAAGTCCTAAAATAATACAATGAATAATGGCATGGCTTAATGTTAGTAGTATTACGCTCAAGGCTAACATTTAATCATCTTTGTGACCTTGAGAATCTGTTAACTTTCATGTCTGCATTTACTGAAAGATAAAACTTGGATAACAGTTATATCTCTACTCTATCACAGGAAGACCTTGCATGTTTAAGATGATTTAACATTTATGGAAAGCAAAAACCATAAAGAGCAATATATGTATAAATCTCTCTCACTACTGGAATTGTTAAGACTGAACTTTAAATGAAAGCCTTTCCGTCACTTTGCATAGGTTGGGGAAAATCTACTTTCTAATTTTGAGTTATGCCTAGGATATATTTTACAATATCCCTGAATATAACAAAACTCCTTTTGGAAATTATTTACTATCTGTCTTTAACATATATCATACAACCATGTATTTGTGTTACCTTTATGAGAAATATATATTTAATTACCTGTAGCTGTGTGAATTTATCTTTACACAGGTCTCAAAACTTTGGTTAGCTGGTTCAGAAGAGCGAGAACTTCCTTAAAAAGAACAGAATATGGATGACTTCATGACATTCATACTTGGAGTTGTAATACTAAACAACACAATGACCTAAAATTTTTTAGGACAAGCTACTGACAACATTTCTTGCTAACATGTAATACACGCATACCTACTTTATCTCTCAAGTAATATTTACATATTGTTTGTATCACTGTAAGTGAATGAATTCTAATGAGGCTTTGCCTAGTCAAGAAGTAATGCCCACATATATGAATTACACCAACACTGCAATGCATAAAAGATAGTTTATCTTTTTGTTCCACATATGTGCAAGTCACAAATGGCAAGTAATCAGTGATGTCTGCCTCTAGTGCACCTGACATGAGCTTTCCACTCTCTATAAAGGTCTGTTTAACCTAACACAGGATGTGTCTGAGCACAGTATGTTCTGCTTAGTCGGTGTGAGTTAAGTGGGTGGTACCAAAGACCAGGACGCAACCATGCACTGAATGAGTGAAATGCAAAGAGACCTTTTCCTTTATGAGAAAATATTGTTTTCACTGTTCTTACTAGTTTGTTTTCAGTAGAGAAACTCAGTGATACGCCAATAAGCCTGGAACCATTTTTGGGAGGCAACGTAAGTTTTCCCTAGATGGGCTCCATCCATCCCCTGAAACCTGGAAGGGCTTGAGTAGAAGGACAACATTCTGTAGCTATCTAGGGGACTAGCTCCTCACCTAAGTGAGGAAACTTTCCTCTACCATTAACAATGGGTCACTCCACAGCTACTTGTGGTCACTGTGCTCTTCAAGGGCTCTAAACCCAATGTCTGGCTGTACGCATGCGATAGCTTCCCTAGCAGAACAAATATGCTCAAACATCTCCAAATCACAGATATTGCTATCATATATTAGCTATAACAAGAAAATCAGCAATCATCTCTGTTATATAGAAGCAGGCGTTATGGGTAACCAATTTGTACAAATCTGTTCAATTTGTGAGTCACTAGCAATCACAACTATTTTCTTAATGATTACAAAACAAAACATTTTACATTTTGATATAAAAGAAATACTACAGCTTTGGCAATGTAATTGGAAGTAACAACATTATATATTAAACATGTATTCTAAGAAAATTTAATAGTCATCACAGAGGTACTTTTTAGTGTCTTACACTACATAGAAAATAAAATGCTTTTATCTCTGAAAATAGTAGCAACCACCAAATACACTTTAAAGATTTCTGAGTGAGAAAACCTACCAAATCGATACTGCACATTAATTGGTCTTCCATACAAACGAATGCCATTCAGCAAAGCTATGGCATAAGACACTGATTCAGGGTGTTTGAAGCAGACAAATCCAAAGGACTTCGGCTTTCCATCTCTGTCCTTACACAGAGTCACTTTGGTTAGGGGTCCAGCCTAGAAGAAACTTAAAAATTATTTTGTTATAAATCTAAAGATTTTTGTATACTCAGAAAAATAAAGTAAATTCAACTTTGATGACTAAAAACAATCTATTCACATCTTATTAATAATAAATATAACAAACCCTCCTGTTTTATACTTTTCCGATTATCAAAAACTTTTATGCAAAAGGAAATTCTAGATAACAGTACCATGTATGAAGAAAGAAAGAACTACTATAACTCTCCTAGGCTTTACAGATCAATTTTCAAAGCAGTTAAACTTAAATTACTCTGTCTCATTGTATATTTTTTTAAAAAATTAATTATTAGCCCATCTTAGTTGTACAAAATAATAAATTTAATCTCTGTATTTGCAAATCACATGTATATAATGTGCATTTCTGTCATTAGCCCTCAATATTACCATCTCTTTTTAATGCAAAAATAAAAAACCGTGACAAATTCAATGTTGGTTAGGTTATTCTGAAAAGATGACAAAATTACATCATAATTTTTTCTGTCAAGAAGAAGAAAAAATCCTCATAGTCGAAAACTAAGTGTATCATGTATTTTGATATGGAAATTCCATTTGGTAAATATTCCAGAAGGAAGAATGTTTTAAGTTTAATTATGATTAAGACCTTTAAGTATACACATCATTCTTAAAAGTGAAAAATTAGAAAGGCTCTCAATGATATAATCTTGTGGTGCATTATATAAATGGAATAAGTAATACCATAAATTACAAATATCCAGATTATATTGAGAAAAATATCTAGAGCAAGTAATTGAAAGTAAATAGGCAAAGACAGATTTTTTTTAACTAAGAAAAAAATTGCATCACTTATAGGGCAATCATTTATATAAAGCTGATTTAGTGGAAAATGGTTTATACCTTAATGATTATTTTTCTGTGAAGAGTTAAATAAATGTATAGACGTTGTTGATATTTTAAGATTTAGTCTTTCTTGTCCATTGTCTACAGCATAGGTAGAACTAGCTTGTCCTCACACTACAATCAAGGGTGACTTCATCAGCAAATCAGTTTTTCCCACTATACAACTAGAAACCTTTGTATGACTGTATTTAAAACTCAATAAATTTGAAATTTATTACTTTTTATCAAATATCTTTATTTTAGTGCTTCTTGATCATAGTGCAGTAATCATTAATGCAACTGATTTTGTCACTTCAAAGACAGAAATTTGAAAGATAATGGTAAATGATATATGTATCCAGTAATATTAAAAATTGCTTATGTTCTACAATTTTTACTTTTCTACTACTATACTAAAACAAAATGTCAGGCTGCAGAGAGAGTTCAGTAGAATAGCGCTTGCCTGCCAAGCGCAGGGTCCTGAGTTCAATCCCCAGTACCGCAAAATAAAAATAAATAAATTAATTAAAAATAAAATAAAAAACATACAACAAAATGTGTTTAATTCTTACTTTGAACTTTGCAAAAATATTTCTATATGGCAAGGTATTTAAGTTTTTTTGTGTCCATTTAGTACAGGGTTTATAGGGTCTTACTACACAGATCAGACTCATAGTGATACTCTTGTTTTCAGCCACCTGAGCGCTGGGATTACAGGTGCATTCCACCATACCCAGCATACAGTCTCAGCATGCCCCAGGGTTGGGGCCAGCATCAAAGGCTAGGGATTGAATCCTGGCCCCTGTGTCTGCCTAAGCATGTGCTTTTTTTAAAAAATTTCTTTAGCCAGCTCAGCCCACCTGGGCATGTGGTGCTGGGGTCAAACTGCGATCCCCTGAGCCTGCCTAAGCTTACCTAGGCAGGAGCTTTAGAATGCTGAGCTATCTCACTGGCCCAGCAGGTACTTTAATGAGCTGAGCTATCTGGCTAGCCATGCAAGGTATTTATAAAGATAAAATTTAAAAAGAAAATTTGCTTATAGCCACAATCATAATCCTTTTAATCCAGAATGAAACACACTAGTGGCAGCTATCAAGTTTTGCTGGTTTTGCTCATTTTAATTCCTTAAAGATCATTATGTACTGCAAACACATAGTTCGCAAAAGCTGAAAGAAAAGATACCTTTTCTGGGTGGAATTTTAGCCAGCTCTACCCAGGCAAACAAACAAAACGAAACCCAACAAAAAATCCCTTAGTGCCTAATCTACGAAACGAGACTTATATTTTGTTTAAGTGGAAAAATGAAAGCATCAAAAGGTATGATAATATGTACTGCTTTGTGGATCCAAACATTGATACTAATGCCATCCTTCTTGAGTGTAAACGTGTTATTGCTACCCTACTACCATGTCCACCCACCACATTTAGAGGCTCAGGGCTACCCAAATAGCTCCGAGAATTAAAGCACCTGTAAGCAGGTACAGGGGCCAGTGGTTCGATCCCGGGCCTGCCATGCTGACTCCGTCTGGGTGCGTTGGGGGAATGGGGGGTCTGGGGGCGGGGTGGGAGGGAGGATGTGGGAGATGGGGAGGGGAGTGGGGGGCACCTTGAGAGAGCAATAGAGTCCGATGTAGTAGTTAGGCCCTGAACACCCTGTAGAGCCTTCCCTAAATATAAAAAATAATAATAATAAATAAATAAAAAATAGAGGCTCAGCACAAAAGAAACCCGGAGGAAATAACTGGAAGTTTACATTTTTGCTCTCTCATTGTAAGATTGAAAGCATATTAGGTAAAAAAAAAAAAAAAGCCAAGAATAAGAGTTTATTTTTTAAAGGCTAAATTTAAGGATAAAATATAAGGATATATATACGAAAAAAAACAAACTTCCTGGAGGCAAGCTTCCTCACCAAAGTTTATACACTCTATAATAGAGGGATAACTGAGGGATAAAGGTATGTCCACGCAAAAGCAAGTTATATATTTAAAAAAATGTCTCTAGTGCTTCTACATAATACTAGAAGTTCAGCTTGGGCCCGTCTCCCTTGCAGCGTCCCCTTATTCTGCTAAGCGGAAGTCACGCTTGCTTTCTCCCACCGTAGCATGACTGCTAATAGCAGGAGCACGCAGTGACTGTGGTTCTGTTCTACCTGCGTTGGCTCATTTATTCTTCACAGCCACATTCCTACTGTAGAAGGTATTATTCCCACTCTGGGCCACTCTGATTTGCAGGTTCTGCTAAATCATGGTAATGAATTTTTAAAGGCCCCTTCAGAATGGTCCAAGAGCTACGTCTTCAATCTGCGCGCAGCACCTTCCCTGGTGTTCGTCTCCGCTTCTAGCTCCTTAAGTGATGACCGGGTGGTTGAAAAAAGAACCGCTTGGCAAGCGCGCCCGGCGCATACAACAGGTGACCGGGAACACGGCTCACTCAATGCAGGAGGCATCAGGCTCGCAAAGTTTTCCAAGGCCATTTTGAAATGGAACAAAAGGGGCCTTGGCCAGGCAATCAACTGATCCAGTCAGGGTAAAGTGGCTGCACATGACCTCAAATGTCACTTACTGCGATAAAAACAAAACTTCTCTCCACATGGAAGGGTTAGGGGAAGGAGGCTTGCACATCGGCATGGAGACATTTAGAAATCTACGCCTCACTCTTCGCAGGCTCTAACCCAGAGCGTGCTTATCACCTGAAGACAGTGACAGAGCTGCGGACATCGGGTGCGCGCAGCCTCTGGGGGCCCTTACTCAGCGCCGGGGCTGGGGGAGCCCGGTCTTCGCGTACTCCGCGGGCTCTGCGAGGGGCAGCAGGGGAAAGCAGGAGGGGGATGGGACGCGCGCAGCCCTCCGTCCCGGCGTGCCGGCAGGCGCGCAGGTCCACGCGGCGCATGCGCAGGCGGGAGGGGCGGGGCCGGCTCCGGG